AAAAAAAAGAAACAGTCTTGTAGGACCTCATGCATCCAACATCCAGGTTTATAACGTCCTCCTGTCCCCACAAGGTTCGAAAGGTTCTATTTGCAAAACTCCTACATGAATTACTGCCTGTGTCTGTAATCTTACCTGTTTTTGAGCCCCTGAACAGGCTGACCCCGCTCCCCAAGGGAAGCTGTTCCTCTGTTCATGCTCAGCCATGTTGGACTCTCACCCCCGAGCCAGGTGTATGCCTAATAAAGTCCTCCTGTTGGCCCATTTGCGCTCTCTGTTCTCTTAAATTCTGCAATGCGCCCTCTGTGCTCTTTGCTCAACTGCAGAGGAAGCGGTCATGCAAGGGGCTGGCATGTGGTTTATAGATCTATTAAATATGATGGCTTTTAGTTCAATCAAATTTCAATACTGCCTACCAGATCTTAGAAAAAGGGTTCTTTTTGTATGCTTGGGATATGATAATAATAAAAACAAGTTATCATTTTGTTTGTCTGTACTCAATTTGGATCCTTTGTCAATGTCTCCAGTACCTCTAATATTTCCTGAGTGTATGTGAACTTTATGAAGTAGCTTTGCTTTTAGATAATCATGTGAGAAAGTTGTACCATTTTCTTTACTTACTTGATGCAAAACTCAATGTGCTTACATGTAAAATCCAATTCTTTTCTTAATAGGTACTCGGTTAAAGTGGCGTCAGCACACCCTGTTACCATACAGGTGCGCACATCAAAACCAGATGTATTTATCAAGCTGCAGGTGCTAGAAAGTGAAGAAGCTATGGTGAACTCCCTTGGAAGAGGCCAAGCTATAATTCCAGTTTTTACTTTTTTGGGGAATGAGAAAACTGTGAGTTCCCAGTGTAAGTGTATTCTCTTGAGTTGGGTATTTGGATTCATAAATAGACTTATTTTTTTTGTGACACTTTTAAAAGTTTCAAGTTAAAATAGCAAGTGATCATTTAAATTGATTCTACAAAAAATTAAGAAAACACTGTATTTGACACCAATAACATAATGTAATGTAATGTAATGTATGTGAAATTAGGCTCTGAAGTGTACATGTAAGCATTATATGCACAATCACTTTGTGGAAAAGTTCAATTTCTAATTACGTGGACCTTTTTTACAATTTTTATTATTTTGAAATAATTTTTTACTTTTATACCTAATTTCTTATTTTTAGAAAATGTTCTATTTACTGAAATTAACAGACTACAGTGTTTATTTTCAATATCATATTCTCAATAAATTAGGTAAGTCAGTTATTTCTAAAGTAATTAGCAGAGATACTGTGAGATATATTATTTATTTTAGTAAATTGATTCTAACTCTAAAATAAAACGTGACCAATGAGAAAATTTGGAAAATTATAGGCAAGGGAATAGGAATCTTTTATAATTGTATTATCTGGAAAAATATAAATTTTTTATCAAAAAATGCTATTAGTATTTAATTCTTATATTCGTTCTCCATCTATGCATTTACATTTTAAACTGTAATTTTGCGTTTTTGATGATTAAATTTTTTTCTATAATTTTATTGAGAAACAAATAGCAATGAGGCAGTTTCAAACCAAATTGGTAGGACAGTTTCAATAATTAACACATTGCATACATTCTTCCTAGTGGTTAATTGCTGTACAAGATGCAGACATGATATCCTATTTACGAACACCATTAGAACAAATCCCTCTATTCATTAAGAGAATGTAACTATATATCTATCCTAACCACTTTGAATACACAGACACAAAATGGACATTCATCTGTATCCCCCTTTTTTTTGTTAAGTTCCATTATTTGAATATTATAGGTGTGTTAACTCAGCAAAATATTCTAAAAGAGTCCAGTAGCCCATAATAGTATTGAGTCTTCTGCTTGACTGACAATGTCAGAAATTGTTGACCTGAGTCCCCTGTAGCTCAACATAACAGCATGGCTTTACTTCTTATACTTCGTTTTTATACTTTTCTGCTGGATGGTTAAGACCAAGGTAAAGCAGGACCTGTACAACAAGAGTTGTAGCTTTTGGGTCTGATAAGGTCAGTGAAATCCCCTCAGGATTTATCCTGAGATCCTGTATCTCAGATTGCAGAACCTTTGTCAGTGTCAGCCATGTGGATGAGTCACAGCCATTGCTTGGCCAATGTGCTCTCTGTGAAAGCCTGAGAGAATGTTTTCTCTCCATGTGACTTTCCTTAGGCACACTCTACACCATCGATCACTTTCCTCTTTGGCCCCATAGTCTTCTTGATCAGAAAATTTGGGACACTAACTGAGTTACATGATGCCACAGTACAAGTTCTCATATGTCCTGAGTCTTAGTTGACCTTGGAAGGCTAGGGCCAAAATGTTGGCTTTCCTTGCGGCCCTCCTTTTTCTCTAATTTTGGTCTGCAAACTTAGGTTGTTAAACATCCAGAAGACAAGCTTATTGTTATTACCATACAACTTAGGCTGTTAAGCTTAACCTCACTATCTGTCTGAATAAAATGAAGATTTTTTTATTTTTATTTATTTATTTTTTTTTGCGGAACCGGGGGTTGAACTCAGGCCCTTACGCTTGTCAGAGAAGTGCTTATTCCACTGAGCCATCTCCCCAGTCCCTGATGATTGATTTTTTCTTCATAAAATTGTTACTTTGTTTCTTTGTGATATTACGACCTTTAAACAGTGTCAAATAAAAGTGATAATGATATATTTCCTTTTCTAAAATAGGAGAGTTTGCAGAATTTGCCATGAAGTATTGTGTCTATTGGTAGCTAATAATTGGCTTTATGAAATTTGAGAGAGTTCTTTCTATTGATAGTTGAGAATTTCAGTATGGGTTTAGAACCTTATACATTGTTGTCTATATGAATTATCAACTTCTAGCTCACTGAACTAAATTTATTTTTTAGTTTTGATCACTTCTGTACTTTTGAAATAAAACTCTTCAGCCACCATACTTTCATGTTTATAATATACGATTTTGTTTAGTTTGTCGGATCAGATTCCTAAATTTTATTAAATTAAATCTCAAAACTGTAAGTTTTCTGTTTTCAAAGGATAGATTTTTGTTTTCTTATTATCTTTTTAATAATTTCCTAGGCTATTTTTCAAACTTTTTCATTTTTATAATATGTGTTTTTATTTACAAGTGTCAGATTCACCTGACATTTCAAATATATCTGCATAAATTTGTATGTAAAAATTCTTTTATAATTAAAAACTATGAGTCCTTCCACAATCATTATTAAATATAATTATTTATTTGTACTTAAAATTTTATTCTTGAGCAGGCATTTCTGAGATTTATCTGTATTATCTATCTTGTCTTACAATGAATTGCTGAATTTATTATTCAAGCCCTAATTTCTCTTTTATGTTTGCAATCTGCTTATTAATATTCATATGTATCTTTTAAAGCCATTTCTTTCTTTTAAAAATTTAGTCAAATGTTCTTTTCTTTTTCTAGCTTTGCCAGTTGACATTTTAGCTCCAATATTGAACTGTGTTTTAAAAAAAATTATATTTAGTGGTACACAGTTTTCTGTGTATAGCCGTATGGAGGCTATAAATTGTATATATAGTAATGCTATCTTGTTCATGGCATATGATTTAATTTTAATTTTTCTTTAATCTTAAGCAATTATGGTTTTAAAATAATCCTCAAGTATGGTCTGTCTAGCCTTTTGATATCGATTTTAATAACAGCTACAAAGTGTGAGCTGCCATTGCCATCCAGGATGTACCTGTCCAGCAGGACTGAGACTTGCAGGAGCAGATGGCAGAAACAGGACAGGAATGTAGCAGCAAGGCCCAGAGAGCAGGAAGCGCCCGGCATGCTTTTCCCCACCATTTGCGATTTGCTTCTAAATATCCTTCTGGGTTGTTCCCAATATTGAAATAAATTCATACTCTTTGGCTGCTCATCTAAACCTGCCTCACCCGCTTACATTTGTTTTCAGATTTGTTCAGGTCATGAACCAGATGAGCTTAGTTTTAGTTTTAATTACATTTCATGCAGTTTTCTAATTTACTTCACAGAAGGATGCCTTCATTTCAAAAGCTGAGCAAAAATTTATGTGAATCTCTCCCAATTACTTGTGACCTCAGGTTGTTTGCTTAAATCACTTGTTCAACCACATTGCTCTTAGATAGAACTTCATGGAGGTAAATATTGCTTATGAACCAGAGGTCATGTAGTTTATCATTATTTTACTTCAAAACTTAATGTTTTTTGTTTTTGTTTTTTTTTTTTTGTTTTGTTTTTCTTTTTTTTTGTGGTACCAGGGATTGAACTCAGGACCCTGGGCTCACCAGGCAGGAGTTTACTCTACTGAGCTACCTCCTCAGCCCCAAAACTTACTCATTTAAAATAAATGTACACAGAATTGTTTTAAACCAACTTTATGAGTTTACTTATAGCAAGGAAAGAGATAGTAAAACTTAGTGAAAGAATGACTGAAAATTGTCAGGGCTGGCCAAGTAGCTCAGTGGATTAAAGCACCTGCAAGCAGGCACAGGGGCTGGGGGTTCGGGCCTGCTGAGCCAGCCCTAGCCCAGGGGCGTGCTGAGACGGCGATTGAGACTGGGTGCGCGTGCCTGGGGTTCAATCCCCAGCATGCGGTGCCAGCCTGGCCCCCGGGTACACTGAGACTGCCATTGAGACTGGGCATGGTGGCACACGCCTGTAGTCCCAGCTCTTGGGAAGCTATAGGCAGGTGGATCACTATGAGTCTGATCTAGTAGTGAGACCCTGAAAACCCTTTCGACCCTTCCCTAAAATACAGAAAAAAAAGGAAGAAAATAGTCCAAAAGTAGAGCCAACACAAACGATAAATCTTCTTTTACAAGATGATATGTACGTTTCACTTCTCGTTAGTGAAGCTCAAGCACGTTTGCTTAGGTCTCTACTTCTTTTTGCCTTTGTTTCTTGGAAAGTGGAGAGATCACCTTTCGTGTTTCCTGACTTCTAAAAACCATAATCCTGGACGATATAGTGTATAATGACTGAAAGCACGTGTGTTACACATTTGTTTAGCTTTATAATGTTTTAGTGGAAGAGTATGTCCAGTGCCCATGACTGTCATGGCTGGACCTGGAATTTCCTGTGTCATTCACTATGTTACCTCCTCACATATTTGGTAAATCATTAAGATTCAACATATTTGTACTTTATTCATCTAAATTGTACTTATAATATTTCAAATTATAAAATAATAGGTACAAAAATTAAAGTAGGTTCTTTGATAAATGTGATAACATATGTGCACATGATATCACATATCATGTGCATGCCTGAGAAACCAGGTGCATGCCTTGCGGTGTCACTCAAGCACTGGATAACCTTTTAACCGTGAACATTTGTTCCAAATGTATGCTATGGATGTAGGTCGCATGACTTAAAGTTATTTTCTTTAACACCAGAGTATTCCCAAGAATCCAGTGATGATGTTGCTTTTAATCTGTTAAAATAAACTTACTCCTTTGAGTATATTATCAAGGAGTCTACCTAATTTAGTCAGTATTAAATATGCATGCCACACACACTAATTTAATATTTCCTTTATTTAGCTAACAAGAAAGTTCTTCCATATCATAGTCCATCCAAGAAAGAGCCAGAAGTATATGTTAAGAAGAAATCTACCCAAGGAAGCCAGAAGCCCTACAAGAGTAGACGTGGAAGTGGACTAACTGACAGTGCCCCGCCGCTGGAGGATGAAGTTATCACTGTGCTCCCCACTACAGAAGAGAACTCTAACATGCCACAGCAGGTAGAGTAGCAGCAGGAAAACTGCTCAGTCAGACTATTCCAAAACACCTGCAATAAAATAATCCTCTTTCTATAAGTTATCAATGTGTAATACTTTCTATATGCAATACCACCATGACGATATTAAAAACTGAAGAATAAGACATTTGCAAACAGTTTCTATTTATTTATTTATTTATTTATTTATTTATTTATTTATTTTGACTCAGCCTGCCCTAAGAACCAGGATGGCATGGCATAGGTGCTTGCCTAAGAAGGTGCTTTCAACCACTGAGCTTTCTCACCAGCCCTATATTGAGCTTTAGCAGGGGCCAGGGCTTCGATCCTCGGGCCTGCCCTGCCAGACCTGCCCCCCAAGGGCGCACTGAAATAGCAAATGAGATTGGGCATGGTGGTGTACGCCTGTGATCCCAGCTCTTGGGAGCCTGTAAACAGGTGGATCACTATGAGTCCGATCTAGTAGTGATACCCTGAACACCCTGTAGATCCTTCCCTAAAATACAATAAATAAATAAATAAATAAATAAATAAAGTTAAAAAGTAGCTTTAAATTCATGGTAAGTTTAATCTGTATACTAACCCTATAGTGTAGATACAATTACATTATTGGAAAAAATCACCTCATTAGTAATATGAGAAATGCAAAAGTATGACAACAATGAGACTTCTTATATGCACTGGACTGACAAAAAATTAGAAATTTGGAGGATGGTAGGCATTGGAAGGAATGCGAGAATATTACACTGTCAGAGACAGCTGTGTTAGGAATTTTTGAAAATATCTGACATAGTTTAGTCTCTTAGCACAAGAAGTTATACTAAGTAGCTGCCGTGCCTGTTTTCACTGTCTGCTCTTAAGCACTGCATTTCCCCCCAGGACTACAAGTACATTGTACAGTGTTTAGTGCTGCATAACAGTTGGCCTCTCACTGAAAATCAGTCAATGTTTGTTCAAGCACTGAAAGACTTGGAGAAAAAAGATATCAAAGGTATGTCTCCTAAGTGTTTATACATGCACTTTACATTTTGTATGAATATCAAAATAAATTGACCACATAATGATTTAAAATATTTTTGTGACTTATATTCCATAACTTGTCACATTCCTTGTGTTGATTATGTTTTAAACTTTGACTGGCTGATTTATAGAAAACATTAGATATGATTCTTAAGACTTAGTTCAAACTTTTTTTCTAGTCAGCAAAAATTACACATTGGTTGGAATGTTGGACATTTTAAGAAACTGTTTCAAGGAAACTTTTCTACTTATAAAATTATATCTGCCCATAGTTGTTGAGAAAATATTAAAAAAGAGACAATTCAAGATCTACGTGTTCTAATTTTTAAGACATGATATATTTTATTTTATTATTAACTTTATTGAAAATCAAAAATTACATATATTAAAAGTTGTAGACAAATATTGAAATGTGAAAGATAAGATATAGAAGACTGATGCTTAGAGAAATATTTCTGAAATGAATACGTCGCATGAGATTAACAGATTGCACACTGTAAATAAATTATTTGCAAACTTAAATGAATATAACAATAAAAATTGTCCAAAATAAAAATGAAGAAGACAGAAATCATGGATCAGTCATATAATAGTTCACTCTGTATCAAAATCAAGAAACTTATATTCATAAAGTTAGAATTCTCAAAGTAGAAAGGGGTAGGCAATAAATATCTAAAGATATAAAATTTCTGAATTTAGTTGAACTTCTAACACCACATTTCCAAGAAAAATGAACCTTTTACATAAGAAATTTGAATAAAATCATATCAAGATACACAAAAATGAAATTGTCCAAAACTTATTATAAAGAAAAAGGTCATTAAAGCATATACATAAAAAATTAGCTATGGAAGAACAAAATTAAATAGCATCTTATTCCACATTAGAAAGAAAAAGAGCAAGTATATAAGAAACTAGATTAATTAAAGGATTGAAAGAAAAAAAAATCTGTCCTCTCTGAATTTTATACTAGCAAATATACCTTTGAAAACTAAAAGTAAAATATTTTCCAGTTATACAAACTTGAAATATTCTAATACCTCCAGATGTAGCATATAGGAAAGGACAAAGAGCATAATTCAAAAGGCAAGAGAAGTTGCAGTATGCTCCTGGATGAACAATAAAGAGCTCTCAATATGATGGTTATGCAGGACTATATAAAATGTGTTAGATTAACCCTTATTTAAAAGGCCATTAAAGATTTCTATGAAACAACCAATCTTATGTCGGGTTATACATGTATTTTTTTTTTCATATATATGTGTGTGTATGCATAAAGGAAGAAGTAGTATAAAATCAACGGAAAATGGAAATATACTTTTTAAAGTTTCTAATACTAGAAGATATCATACTATGTCTTTTAAATAAATTGTAAGTCAAAGATATAGTATAAATCTTAAAACAAAAATTAAGATTAAGTAATATTCAGAAAATTAAATATTTCAAAACAATTGAACTAAGAAAAAGTTTTCATGATAGTAAAGAAGTACTAAGAATAAAACATAAGATAAACACTGGAATGGCAAGTAAATGACCAGCACTTCTAATAGTTTGGGAATAGGATATCGTACAAAGTTCTAGTGTGTTGGGGACATGGATAATGTCCATGACACTTACTGGTGGCCAGATGTCACTTGTGGGACTAAGCTACTGCTATTTCCTTGAAATCCACCCTGTAGACCCAGATGGATTCATGACCCATAGGGGTCAGGAGAAGTCCATTTGTAGAGTGTGCTGATGGAAATATTTTGCTGCTGAACACAAAAGAATAACTGAAAGACTACTATTGTATACCTCTTATTCTCCTGTGTTTGTTTGCCCTATTTGGTGAGTTATTTCCATTCTCATTCATGGAGTTGTGGTCATTTTGTTCCCTTTCTAGAATATCTTTTAGTAGTCTGTGTAGGGTTGGCTTTGTCATCATGAAATTCTTTAGTTGTTCTTTGTCATGGAAGTATTTCACTTCTCCATTATACTTGAAAGAGAGTTTTGCAGTCTGGGTTGGAATTTGTTTTCTTGCAAGACTTGTATTATCTTGCTCCATACTCTTCTTGACTTGATAGCTTGTGAAGAGAAATCTGATGTTATTCTGAAGGGTTTTCCTTTAAATGTGATCTGTTTCTTTTTTTAAGTGGCTTTTAGTATACTGTTCCTGTGCTGAATTTCTGGGATCATGATTATTATATGTCTGGGTGTGGATTTAGTTGGGTTTATGTTATTTGGCATTTTGTATGCTTTGGTTACCTAAATGTCAGATTGTTTCCCCATATTTGGGAAGTTTACTTCTGCCCATATTCTTTTTATACCATTTGTATTGACTCCTTCTCTCTCATTGATGCCTATTAGTCTCACGTTGTTCATCTTTGAATAATCTTGCAGGTATTGAATTATTTTTTTGTGCACCTAGTTGTTTCTAAGAGATCTTTTCTTACTTTTTCACTAGTTGCAATGGTGTCTTTAAGGTCTGAAAATCTATTTTTTCATTCAAAGGGTTTTGCCAGCTTGTGATTGAGGTTTCAATTTCCTGTATATCACTTTGAATCTGCTTCATGCATTCTATTTCTTTCCTATATTGCTTATTCAAGGATTCCATCATTTTTATATTCTGCTCTATTTTTTTTTAACAGTGTCTTCTTTAGGAGCACTTAGTACTTCTTTGATTATAGTTATCATTTCTTTTTTTACTTCAGCAATTATTTCTGATCTAATTTCCTCTAAACCTTTCTGCAGTTATTTCTTTACTTCCAACGCTATTATTTCAGAGATTTCAGGTGTATCAATTCCAATTTCTTCTATGCTAGTGTCTTCTGCATTTGTAGTGGGTGGACTCGGGGCCTGAGACTGCATTTTGTTCCTTCTCTTTGTCATTTTGTATAGCACTGTCTTCTGACCTTTGATGTAGAGCTTAGATAGAGTTATTACCTTAGCACCAGGTCCGAATCTAGTTCAGACTCCTCCAGGTGGGTGTGGCTTGGGTCTGGCTGCTGTGCTCCACTTCTTCCTGCTGCAGCCCTTGGAGGCGAACCCTCTGTGCCACTCTGGCAAGATGTTCTGCTCCTGAATCAGCTGGGTGGGTCTTGCCTCTAGCCTCTTTGCAGGGAGTTCTGCTGAAGGGTTCCACGCCAGTCCTGGGCTCTGGGTCCAGTGAAGATCCAGTGGGCCCTTGGTGGTCTCACTCACACACAGGGCCTGCACTCTGGGTCGAATGAGGATCCGGCGGGCCCCAGGCAGTCTCGCTCACACACAGGGCTTGCCCTCTGGGTCGATTCAGGCTCCAGCTGGCCTGGTTCATCTCAACATGATATATTTTAGAAGTTTGTTTCTAAAAAATCTAATGACTTCAAATTATCAACTTACTTTTAAAGTACAAGTACATCAAAAAACTGGTCTAGTTCTTTTATTCTTATATTTATGACTGAATTTAAAATTTTGTATATATCCTGAAGTTAATAGAAATGTTGCCCCATCAATCATTTAAGTTGACATTTTAATTTCTAGCAGGAAAAAAAAAATACATAACCTGATTTTTCTTTAGAAGAAAAAGCCACATTATGCTGGACATAGTGGTGTGTGCCTGTAATTCCAGAACTTGGGAGGCTGAGGTAGGAGGATTGCCATGAGTTGGGAGGCCAGCTTGGGCTGTCTAGTCAGCTCAAAGCCAGCCTGGACTATATGCCAGATCCTGTCTCAAAAAAAAAAAAAAAAAAAAAAAGGTTAGAAACTGTACTCTGCATTTCTGCTGGTGTACAGAAAGAAGAAGTTAATGCTTAATTTGTTTTGTCTCCTTTTTAAATTGTTTTTACCTCAGACAACACTATGTATTACAACAAATACTGTAAAATTTATATTACTTGAAGTGAAATTCTGTATCTCTTGTAATTTTTTTCTGTTTTGATTGTAATTTGTAATCTTAAAAAAATTAAAAAATAAAATGACAAAAAAACCCACAAACACACACACATAAACCAACCAACCAGCCAACTAACTAACTGAACAAATGAACAAAAAAAGCCACATCCTTATAGATCACAATAAAAAATAAGGCCTGAATTATAGCTATATCTAAACTAAGATATTTATTACTATTTTTAAGAACCCTGGCCTGTGGGTAGCACAGGGCCACAGCACCATCTGCAGGACCGGGCAGCGCCTCGGCTTGAGGAGCAATTGCTTCCTTAGGCGGCAGTTAAAAGACTTCCTCATAAGGAAACAGGATCCGGAAGCCACAGAGAGGACATCCTAGCGATACCATCTGCCTTCAGGTTTAATTCAGGATTTATGATTTTAAATTCTTTTTATACCTTCATGTTGTAATTCATATTTATTTGAAATTCTTAACTATTTTCTAAAACACCTATAAACTTCATTATAAAAAATATGTGGTTTCAAGTTCAATTTTATGAAGAAGATCATAACACTATTTTCTCAACTCAAACACATTTGATGGTTTTTTGTTTCTTTGCACAATGAATGCAATGTGAACCCAATTCGAGGTCTTTAAAAGACCACACGGTTTTACATAATATATTAATATATATACCTATTACATATTATATAATAAAGATATTTATATCTAGGCTTACAATTACTATTTTACTTTGCTTATGAGGTGACTTAGGAGATGTCAATTAATTTTTTAAAAATATGAAATAGTAATAAAAAACCCCCAGCATTAGAAATGATTAAAAAAAATTTCACTAAATAAAGTAATAGATTCAACAATGGTTGCTGTATTGTATGATGTTATCTTCAAATAAGTTGTTTAGGTTACCAGACATAAACCTGAAGAACTGGGCTGGCCCAATAGCTCAGCGGATTAAAGCACCTGCAAACAGGTGCAGGGACTGGGGCTTCAATCCCCGAGCCTGCCATGCTGGCTCTGCTGGCAACTGAGACTGCTGGTGGTGGTGTGCCAGTAATCCCTGGGAGGCTGTAAACAGGTGGGTCACTATGAGTCTGATCTAGTAATGC